ATTTGTTCTTTATTATTAAGAAATTAGATCTTTGAAAAGAAATATTTATTCACGTACGCATATCATGGGAAATTAAATTATTCTGAAAATATAATTGGAGGTTTCCATCTCAGAAATTTTACAAGGTGAAACATCCTATAGTACATTTAATTGTTTCCACTTTTATCGTGAAAAGGGAAAGAAGAGAGAGAGAGAGAGAGAGAGAGAGAGAGAGAGAGAGAGAGAGAGAGAAGAGCTTTTCTGCTTTAATCGGATTAGAATTGTGACTGTTCCAGTAACACTCTTAGAAAAGTTCTCACGACACTTTTTAGCATGTTTTTAAAAAGTTACAGAAATGTAACGCAATTAGCAGAAGTGATTCCTTCTAAAAATATCTTCTAATTAGATTATAAAAATATATCCGTACATATTTTTATAATTTTATTTAAAATCTTTTTAAAAATTTCACTTCTGCTAATTGCTGCTTTTCTTTTTATAGAATTATATATTTAAATATATATATATATATATATATATATATATATAATTATTTAGATTTATTTATTTAATATATTTATTTTTATATATTTTTTATCATATATTTAATTAAATTCTAATTTTAATTCCGCATTATACACACACAACACACACACACATATATATATATATATACACAAATATATTGGAGAATTAAATTTGCAATTAGATTGAGATTCTTCGATGATCGATGTTTATAATATAAATAATAGTTTGGACCGATAAATTCGTGATGAATCCGCCATTAATGCGGTGATATAATTTAGTATCTATATATCGAAATGCAGCTATATACATCGACACCCAATTTAGCATAAATTGACATTCAATATCCCTATGAAATACGCGAGCTCTCATTTTATGATATTTCTCTCCCCTCACGCTTTGTTACACATATATTTGTATATTAGCCATGTCAAAGACTCCCCTTTTTGCAAGCCGCAACATACATATATGTATTACTCGCTATTTACTCGGACTTCTTCGATGCTCGCGATAAGCTTTGTCCCCCTCGTGTTAAAAAGCTATTATTTGCTTTATCCGGGACGAGGATGTTTTAGTTAGTCATTTTATCGTGAACGCCTTGTTATTATCCAGCCATTAGTACGTTGTCTGTATTTTTATCGTTAATGACTGTTGTTCTATTTTTAGAGCAAGATTGTATCGCAAGTATAATGTGCTTTTAGTTAGGAATAGATTTTTTTTTTTCTATACGTATGCGCTTATACTTAAAAAAATTAATGTTTTGCTATTATTATGACACGCAATGAGATTCTAAGAACAATTTATTTTTACTTTTTCTAGGAAAAAAATAATTGCAACCTTATATGTTACGGAAAGAATTCTTTTCAGAGTTCGATAAAAAGATACTGCATTTGTTACCAACATCCCGTGTATGATTTGCGAGGCTTCGGCAAAATCGAAATACATTTCTCTTATTCACGTTTTATATTGCTTCTTATATTAGCATTTCACTTTTATTCTCTCCGATGTTCTATATACACACACACATATATATATATATATATATATATACGTATATATATGCTATATATTATATATTATATACTATATCTATCATGCCATTCTCACCTAAATTTGAGGTGCAACGAGATAGCAAGAGCTCAAAAACTAAACCAAAATCATATAGTATCAAATACAAGATACATAGTGGAATTGATCGATTTAGATAGATATAGAGCTATCAAAGTTTACATCTAAGGAGAAAACAAACAGCGTGCTTGTGTGGGCTAACGTTTTAATTAAAATTGATATTTCCGAAGCTTTTGCTTTATCGTCTAATCTCCTTCGCGATTTGTTAGCACAACAATTTTATTCGACTGTTTTACGTATCTGCTTTACGTGAAGGATAAACCGCACAACCTTAATCTCCCGATATTGTTTCTCCCTCACATTAATGGAAGGTAATCTAATTTCCCTTCTCGGAGATAATCCAAGTTCGAAGTAACGAAAGGAGACGATTGTATATAATAATATTGTTTTGTAATTAGAATTGTTTAATCAGACGCGATTATATTATTATTTATAAAGTAAGAAACGAATTCCTCGATTGGGAAAGTTATCTCCTTTCTTGATAAAAGCGATTTCGCAAAATTGAGAGAAATAAATTTGTTTAATCAGGTATAGAGACTTCTCACGTACAACACAAAAAAAAAATTGCAAATCGCTTTAAATCGGATGAACGAATGACAAAGTCAGGCGGATTTTATTGGCTGGAACCAGAGCCAAATTAAAACTTTGTATTGCCTCGTCAAGTCTTGGTAACCGGCCTTAATTCTCCCTATTTCCAGTCACTGCATCTCCAACTCGTACAAAACGAAGGGAAGAGCTTTTATATTTTACGAGTTCTGTACTGCCCTGGCCCTTCCTTCCCTTTATTTCCGACCATTCTGTTTCCAAACGTCTATCATGGGCGAATGAGTATTAAGTATTAAAGAAATGTGTCTGGGAAAGTCCCAAAATAATCTACTCTTTGAAATCAAAGAACGCAGTGATGGATAACGAATCTGAATTTATATAGTTCATTACGAAAATAATGTATATAGACTCACTTTGAAAATTATGAGCTGTTATATATTCACTTTAATCAAAAGCATTTCCGAGTCCTAAAATTCTATTATAAAAGAATTAGATTCTATTTAATCTATTTAAATAATCTGTATATAATTTATCTATTAATATTTTTAGATAATTTTAAATATAATATATAATTTTCAAATAATTTTATATTTAATATAATTTAATATTATTTTTTAATAATTTTAATATTTAATGTTTTAATCTCTATTTAAATATCTATTTAAATAAAATAATCAAGAAACACAGAGATACGCACAAACGGTAGGAAAAAATACAAAATATTATGACATAATGAGATATAGAATATCTCTGTCTTCTCATAAGATGGACTTTTATACTATGTCTTAGTTCTAGCTTCGTCAAATATCGTCAAATATTTACGCGTTACTGAGCAAAAGTTAGTTTTTTTGATGTCAAAAACTTTAATTGAACTTCGTCAATAGGAAAGCTCGCGCTCAAATCTTTCTGAAACTTACGCAGATCCTACTTCAAAAGGTAATATCGGTTGACTTCAAAAACTTTAATTGAACTTCGTCAATAGGAAATCGCGAACTGAAACTTACGCGATCCTACTTCGAACAGGTAATATCTGACTTACTTAACGAACTTCGATCAAATGAAGGGCGCCTGCGTCTGCATCGAAATAAGATCTTAATGTCAACTAAACCGAAGATTCGATCAGAAAATTTTCAACGCAAAACCCCACGTGTAAAGTCGAGTTATATATATATAACTATATCTGATAACAAATCTGCTCCTGAGAAGCAGAGAATTAGTAATTCCATTATCGCTATTTACAGTGAGTTTTATATCTAGGAATATGTTTGACTTTGAGAAAAATTTGATAAAAATATCAAGAGACACAGAAAGAGAAAAATGTATACTACACATCATAATGTGCGTGTATTGCTGATTGAAATATTTTAATATTGTGTATTGAGATCTATTTTTACACATTCCTGATTACATGTTTCCCGAAACTGCGCGATGGAAAGTTATCGGAATACCTTATATGATAATACAAGCACGCAAAACATCATTTCTGACGTTGTATATTTCGGGTTAAAATAAAAATGCGATCGCGTTCCGCCCTAGAAACACGAGAGATCTCATCCCGACGCGGTGTACAGTGCGTATCAAATGGATTCTGAACTTTTTATCTGAGAACGAATTGAAAATACACAGTCTTTGTCTTAAAGAGAAGATACGGTTGTCTTAGGGGATCCTGAGTGATCCATTTTGTTTTATCGATAAAACATCATTTCTGCGTACCTTCTTTTCATTGATTGAATGGAATAAAAAATGTTTTTCCACGATTAAAGTATATAAGGACAAAATTATTTTAATTCTATTTAATTTTTTTGTTTTTAACATAAAATCGATAGGTTCACATTTTGTTTCTATATATACTTTAACCGTGGAAAAGCATTTATTATTCGACTCAAGAAAAAGAAAAGGGTGCGCAAAAGTGATGTTTTATCGGCAAAAGGGACGACGTTTAGGATCCCTTTAAAGAGGATCATTTATTTGAGAAATATATGTTTCTTTTTCCATTTGTTTTAAATTACTGCAATGAAAAAAATTGTTAACTAAACCTTTCAACTAAATTGCTATTTATTGAACATATATTAGTAGTTAAGTATCTAAATTACTATTTATTGTACATATATTAGTATTTGCTATTGAAAACAGTTTCCGATCATTCAGACGCGCCGATATATATATATATATATATATATATATATATATATATATATCTAACAACAATATATCTAAATAATTAAACAATATATCTAAAAACAATAGTTGCTGGAAAAGAAACAGTTTAATTTATAACATACTGAAAAAGAAATTTATTAACTCGACTAAACCTTTCGAATATATATTATTTTGTTAATTGAATATATAAAAATATTTAAATTAAATGTAACATATATTAAATCTAACAAAACGTATATTTGATTTAAATACTAATACAATATTTTCAATTAACAAAATAGTAATTTTTAGTTGAAAGGTTTAGTCAAGTTAACAATTTTCACGTATATATATATATATATATATATATATATAAATTGTTAATTGAACATATATTAGTATTTAAGTCAAATATACGTTTTGTTAGATTTAATATATGTTACATTTAATTTAAATATATTATATATATATATATATGTTAATATATATAAATATATATATATTTTATATATATATATAATTAACAAATTTCTTTTTCAGTGTGTTATGAATTAAACTGTCTTTGCCAGCAACTATTGTTTTTTAAACGTTATATCACCGATCATCGAGCAGCTTTGCTATTGAAAACAGTCTCCGATCATTCGGACGCCGATTATATGTGAAAGTGACACATGAAGTGTACTCACGTGTGTTATCGTAGGGTATTCCGTTGAGCTCGTCGAAGCAAGGGATGGTAGCCAGGCTGCCTGGAAGCGTTCGGGGCCAACACAATATAGTGTCCCAGTTCACTTCGCATTCCAATCGCTCCTGCTTCCTGTTTTGATCCTGATGCTCACGCTCGAGACACTTGAACTGCTTGGTGCTAAGCGACTCGTTCAGTTCGTTAATGTAGTTCAATACGTTCAACACGTAATTATCGTCGACCAGCGACTCCGTGTCGTTCGCAGGAATCCAGGCCATGTCTGCTGACATGCCTGTCAGACAATCAGCGATTTTGATCTTGTTTTCTCCACGGAGATTTTTTTTTCCTCTCGGGAAGAGAAGTTAATCTAGAAAGGAAAAGAGAGACAACCCTTTTAAGATACTGCTATAAATTTTTCAAGTTTTTTTTATCATGGTAAACTGATTTAAACACGAATTTACAGAGCAAAATAAATCTCTATAGTTTTATTCATATGTATATCTATGTATATATTTTTTTTTATTTTTATGCTTATTGAATTTATTCTGTTATTAACGTTTTCTTATACTACAATATTACAAAGTGGATCATTCCTTTCCTTACGCTATAATAATTAAGGAACTGAAATTAAAAAATTCCAACTAATTGTAAGAATTTAGTAAGACTCTCAATGAAACACAAATTTAAAGTTCAACTGCGGCTAGATTAAAGAATTTCAAATGAGAAAAAAGAAACGTCTCGGAATACAAAATTTGGCGTAAAATGAAAATATTAAATTATAATTTACGTAAATAATTTTCTTGATCAAATTAAATTCAAGATCAATTATATTCTTTAAATAAAACGATGTTGAAGCATCGAAATTATTTCGAAATGTAAGAAGACACAGAAAATACTTCTAGCTAAATATTATGTAATTTATTATAAAATGTTGAATATTTTGTAGCGGTAACAAATTAACTGTCACATCAAAGTTGTTTAGCTATTATTTTATTGGTATATTATTATTATATATTTATCATTTACACGATGACATTCGAACAATAAAGTAACGATGCGGGACTCTGTCATATTTCTTTTCTAAATGTAATTGTGACAAGTATCGGGCAATAATTTATTACGGTTATTATCATTAATTAATTTATATGGAAATTAATTAATAATTAATTTCATAAACGACAGAAAATTCTGTTACGACAATCTTTATCAAAGTGTGTAGTTCGTGTTCCGTACCATTATTTATTACTTTGAGTCAAAATCAAAGTGACAGGAATAAAACTTATTAATTATAAAATCTTTTTATAAAAGTTATTTTGAAATTATAAAAAATTATAATTTTTTTTACGATTTTTATGGTCTTTGAATAATTATTTCTTTAACGATATTTAGAGTCATATATATATTTTAATTTTGTTTTAAATTTTTCGTCGATATATAAATGTAATTTGTCGCTTGGATTAAAATTGCGTAATAAAACACAAATTGCACGATCAATTAAAGTAATTACAGTAATTAAATGCAATTAAAGTAATGAAATGTAATAATACATCAATCATTTAATCAATAATTAATGTTGAATATAAAGATTAGTATACTCCGCATGAATTTATTCTGTTATAATTTATTACGTTATAATATATTTTTCGCGGTGAAAATAAATTAATTTACTTTATACATTTGGCTCATTTTCTTACGGTATATAACGTGTATTGTTTATCCCGGGATTTAATTATTCGATCGAAATCTGTTGTGTAAACAATCGGCAAATCTAATTATAATTCTCGAATATTGTAATTCGCGGAAATATTTATCTTTAATTTTAACGTATATATTTATTTACTTATGTTAAAATGCGATATAAATATCATATCTCTCGAGCATAAAATAAAGCACATATATATATATATATATATATATATATAATACAAAAATGATATATATAGATATTATATAGTGAAATAATATAACTTTCTCAACGAGCAAACCTTGACACGTGGGTAAGAGATCTCACAATCAGTACGTCAAAGGTTTAGTTTATATATGAAGGGTAAGCTAAGTTAAAACACGACATTATCGCAAGTTGCAAATGACTCGTATGTAACGAGCCATTTGCGACTTAGAATGCGTCGAGCACGCATTAGTGCGTCGGTTTCCATTTGTGCAGTGGATGGATTCATTGCGTATTCGCGTGATATCCCGTGATTTCGTATTATTACCGAAGGTCGTACTTTCGACGAAAGAGGATTGAATCTCATTGAACTAGACAATACCCACTAAAAGCACGCTTTACCCCGAATTAGATATAATGGAGCTCGATCAATTATTGCTAGGATCGATAAAAACAAGTAGGATCATCGCCCTTTTGTTTCTTGTTACCATGATTTTTTCCAGAAGAGAGCATAATTAATTTTTTTTCTTTCTTAATTTTTTTAAATTTAGTTTTTTTTGTTATTTTGTTTTATTTTCATTTTTTTATATTAATTATGCAACTAAATTTTCTAATCTAAGATGCAGATATAGATAAACATGTTTTTACTATCTATACTATTAGTATCTATATAAAGATTTATCTAGATAATCATATCAATAATATTAATATATAATATTATACATATATATAATATATAATAATATTATATATTATATATATTATATTATATATATATTATATATATATATATTTTTTTTATTTAGATAACAGCAAACACTGTATATATGTCTTTATGGATAGTCTGGACTACCACGGTCTGTTTTTCCTGCACCTTTGAACAGGCATATTTCATCTTGAGACGTCTGGCAGAGACAACTTTGCACGATTTCTTGTCATATTATAAGGTCTATAAATCGATAGCAAAGCGAAGCGTGTCTAAGCAAGCTCGAGTTATTTGAGATCCGAATATGCTGCAAAAGTCGAACGAACAGTCACGTCAATTCTTATCGATTTCGTCTTCTACTAAGTTACTCCGTTGAAGCGAGAAATGGCATATTGTTTCGCGATCGCGAAATTCGAGAGTATCGTACTAAGTATCGCGCGCTTTAAGTGCGGAAGTGACTTGCCAAGTATTGTGCCTTCAAGTGCGGAAATGCACCGTGTAAAAGTAAAGTATCGCCCATCCAAGTGACTTTTGCCATTAAGATGTGTGAGTAGACGGATTCTAATGACTCGAGAGTTAGAAAAGGGAAACATCAAACGTCAGCAGAGCAACCTTGAGATAAAAATTATTTTTATATGTATTATTTGTATATTAGTTATTTATTAATTGCATGCGCATTTTTAATTTGGTTTTTTTTATTAATTTATTTGAATTTATTTTATTTGAATAATTTAAATAAGTGAAAATGAGAGAAAAAGTTATTTATTAACTGCAGGCGCATTTTTAATTTGGTCTTCTTATTAATTTATTTGAATTTATTTTATTTGAGTAATTTAAATAATCGAAAATGAGAGAAAAAGATTTTTAAAATATATAGCTCTTTTGAAAGTTTCTACATAAAAAGGAATAAAGTTCTTTAGAATGTTTAAAATTATTATTTTTGTTTTTTGTTCCGTAGTCATCAGTCGATGAGTGAAAGATTTTTATTTTATTTGAAAATAACAGATTCACATAAATATTGTAAATGTAAATTATAAATAGATATGTTGCCTTAAAATAGATTGGCTGGAATGAATTAGATTAAATAACTTTTAATAGATACTTTTGATATGCATTTAAAGCATATTGCAAATTAAATATTATACGTAAATTAAAGCAACAGAAAGGTACACTTCAAATATTTCAATTTAGATTTTATCTATTTAATTTATTTTATTTTATTTTATTAATATAGTACGTAATAACTTTTTTTCATAATGTGCGTCCATTCTATTCTAATTTTTTATAACCCATCTGAGTGTGTTAACAGAATCAGACAATATTATCGGAAAACTTTTCTCTATCTACGAGTAGTATAAAGCCAAGTTATCAAGTAATCGTATTACATGTGACAAGAAATCATACAAATATTGATTCTATTATTAATATAAAATTAATATAATATAAATTTATTTTATTTTATTTTATTATAAATTATATTATTTCAAAAAGTTTCAGTAATTAATTAATTTTGACCGATAACTTGGCTTTATATATCAGCTGAAATAAAATTATATTAAAATAAACTTCTCTAATGATCGTAAAATCGCATGATAAGGAAAATAAAACGTTGACGTAATCTACTGGCGATAATAATTAACCTAGTAATAAAAAAGTTTCTTTCTTTCCTCGATCTCTAATAGGTCAATTGACTAGATGTAACTATAGATGAATAGGATCAACAAAAGGTAGATTCAATATCTATTTCAAAAGTAAGCCCGAAGAATCGATGACCAATTCTATTATAGTCAGAAAACGATAAGAAAAGGTATTAAAAGTATGCATAATTTTTCGCATTTCCAATTTTACCTACATGCAAGAACACGTCAGCGAGAATTTCGTTGCATTCATAAATTATGATTAAGACTTAATCCCCAAAACTCATCTGATTGATCATGATTGATTATGATGGAGCACATTTTCGAAATTTCGATGATTGTTATTATCGCCATTAAAGCAAAAGGCTATTAGAAAATTAAAAAAACAAATAGGGTTATTGAGAAAAATATTGAAGAAACTAAAAATAAAATAAAAATATAATATAATGTATAAAAATATAATATAATAATTTAAAATAAATAATATAAAATTTTAATTTATTTTTAAAAAATTAAGAAATTAAATTTAAATAAATTTAAGGTAAAAATAAAATAAAAATTATTGTTAGACAAATTTAAAAAATTCCAATTAAAAATACGAAAATTTTATTAGAAAAATATGAAAAATTAAAATTATAATTATTTTTAGGAAAAAATAAATTAAAATTTGGTTTTAGAAAAATTTAAAACTAATTAATTTAAAAAATTTATTAAATTCAAATAAATATTTATTTTAATAACTTCTTTATAAATCATTTATTTCAAATTAATAATTAATAATATTAATTTGACGTGAAAACATATTTATTTGATGTAAGAAAATCTTTTTCAAAATAGATAAATATTTATTTGTTTTAATAAAATGATATATATAAAAGACTATTGAAATAAAAATATTAATTTGAATTCAACAATTTTTTTGCAGTATAGTATTAATTTAATATGCTTTTTTAAAAAGTGAATATGTATATAAAAATTTTAAAAGTGAATATGTATATAAACAGTTTGTTATTTTGACAACTATGTACATATTGCGTAGACATGTCTTTTATTCTGGAAGTAATATAAATTTAATGTAGATAGATATATTTTTTAATTTTTATATTATTTTCAAAGTAAAAGACATGTCCATGCAA